AGAAGAGTAACAGGAGACGTGTTGTCTGTGGTTCCTGCAGTTGTTCAGTAGGTGGCGCTAAAGCACCAAAGAGTTCATCATCAACCTCATTAAGAGCCAGAGAAGAAGAAGGTGTGTGTGTTCAATCACGTCCTCAGTCAGGAGTTAAGTAGTGGGACAGCGGAGAGAGAGAAACATTGATATCAAACACTTGACACGTTAAAATGAGCGGAAGAGGAAAAGGAGGCAAAGGACTCGGTAAAGGAGGCGCTAAGCGGCACCGTAAAGTCCTCCGTGATAACATCCAGGGAATCACCAAGCCCGCTATCCGCCGTCTGGCTCGCCGCGGTGGAGTGAAGCGTATCTCCGGTCTGATCTACGAGGAGACCCGCGGTGTGTTGAAGGTCTTCCTGGAGAATGTGATCCGTGATGCCGTCACCTACACCGAGCACGCCAAGAGAAAGACCGTGACCGCCATGGATGTGGTTTATGCTCTGAAGAGGCAGGGACGCACTCTGTACGGCTTCGGAGGTTAAACCCGTTATTGATCCACTGAACCAAAGGTCCTTTTAAGGGCCACACACACTCTCACAAAGAGACACAGTCCTGGTTCATTATATGAAGACTTATATTTACTATGTTTTAAAGTGGTTGTTAATTTGGAGGTTTAGATATAAACCTTAAAGCAGAGTTTATTATATAATCTATGAACCGTAACATACAGGTAATCTGTAACTAATGTTTATCACATCCTTCATGTATAATCTCCTGACTCAATGTATAGTAACTGAACACTAAAACATTTGTATGTTGCACTACAACACCATCTGACTCTGTTGGTTTAACTGAATATTTTGAAGACTGAGGGAAGTTTAGTGTTGTAATTATCTGCACTCATATATTTTTAGTTGTACAACATCAGGACTCCACTCAACAGATGTGCTTTTGAATGTACCACAATTAAATTAAAGCCAAACCTTTTTTTTTTTTTTGACCTATTGCTGTTTCCTTATATAGCCACAAGGTAGAAGAAATCAATTTATTAATAATACATAGAAGTTACTTGAACCAAATGAACGCTGATAAACAAAGTAACATAATTACTGATGGATTTAAGTATGACACTCGACTTGGATGAAACAAATGATGACGTCCTGTTACAGAGCTCCATCTTTGGGTCTTTGTGTTGAGCAATAATGAGAAGAAATTTCCCATCACAGGACTTGAACCCACAAATTTTTATTACAATCAAGTAGGTTTATTTTATTAGCATTTTTGTCTTAATGTGTGTATTTCTTGTGATCAGCGCTTTATATTTCAGCTCTGTGTTCTAAAGTCACAAGATGAACCAGACTTGATCATTTAATATATTTTAATTGTGTGATGAAGGTGTGAAATATTAATTATGCTGCTGTGAGAAAACAAGCTCTGAACATTGTTAAAGCACTGAGAACTGAAGTATCGCTGTCCAAGGTGCTGATCCTGTTTTTTTCCCTTTTTTTTTAAATAAACTTTTTACATAAACATATTATAACAACAATTTAACAATGAAGCATCAGAAAACATTTATAAAGTGTATATAACCAAAGTAAGTCCAAAGGAGTTGGAGGTCTTTATCTATAATATCAACTTCATCAATGAACAGCTGATAAAACTGGACCAGAGCTCTTCCCAACATGTTTGATGGCCTGCAGCACTTCCTCTTTTCTTATTTCCCTAATGAGTAAAACTAAAGGTTGATGGGCTGTATGGAGGGATAATCCCTAAAAATCTGTTCACAACATTTATTATTAATTTCTATTTTCTGATAACACACACATCTCTAATTATTGCCCATGATATCACTGTAATTATAAAGAATCAGACTGAAATGGATGTTTTAACTAATCATTTAATCTCATACAAAAACGCACCTGGAGCTAAATTAAATCATGACAAAAGTGAAGTTTGGATAGGAGAGGAGACAGTTGGAGAGCTGAGGAATAACTCCACTGGTATCTCTGCTCACTGCATACCAGATACCAGATACCAAACTTGTCAACTGGTTTGTTTGTGGATGTAATTTTACAGTACCTGTTCAGTGTCACCGGTATTCTCCCTGTTCAAAACTTCACAATGATTGTGGAAATGTCTATTTGAACATTCAAACAACCAGTCTTTCCACTTCGGTTCTCCAGCTTTAGAGGCCTGAATTTCCAGGAAGCGTCCCACATAATCACAGCTAGGAGGATCGGTACTGCGCTCTCTAGTACTTTTTGTGTTTTTGTTTATTTGTTCTGTTTTCCGAAAGACATAACCACTTTGGTCGTCAAGTTCTGGACTGGCAGAGTTTCTGACCATGATATTAAACTATACTTACATAGGTACTGTAACATCTTACAGACAACCAAACAGGTGGAGTTGGGGTTTAACTTTATATTTACGTACTCCATACAAGATGCCAAATTTGTCCACCGGTGTCCAAAGTGGTTATGTTTTTCTGTA